ATGTACATCATAATTAATATATACATATATTATATTTATACATTATTTATGGCTATTTGACCATAAATTTAGTATTATTAATGTATTTATAAAATTTATACGTGTTTCCCTAGTATATCCAAGCATTTCTATATATTTACATCCATATCCATGCATTTCCAAAACGTATCCGTATCCATATCTACATCCAAATTGTCCGATATGATATTTGATTTCTTTTGATAGAGGCCAAGCTTAGGTGGCATTACATAGTGTGTAAATATCATTGACGGGACCACTTTGGTCTTGTTCGTGGTAAAATAGGGTGTTCTACTATGTGTGGACAGTCCCCCGTTCACAAAATAGCGTGAATAGGGTTGAACCACACCCCAATTTATCGTCCACAGTATTTTTCTCATGAATGGTCTACACTATGGTGTGGATAGTTTGTGGGAAGGTTTCAATGTAACGCACCTGCATTATATTGGTCCAATTACTCTCATCTTATTTAATTTTTTAATAATTTTTAAATTTTAAACTTTTAATATTTTATCAATAAAATAATAATTTTTAATGTTATTTCCAGTACAAGTCTGATGGTTCTCCTTCTCAACTCTTTTTTCATTATTTAAATATTAATTTTTAATATATTTATCAGTAATCAATATTTAAAATATTATTTTTTATTTTTTAAATATTTAAAATAATACTTTTTAGTTATTTAGAAAATGCAATTATTGTCAAAATGTTGATGCATTTTTTCAATTTATTTACCATATAAAATGCAAAAATTAAACATTTATGATCAACTGTGTAAATCTCCCATAAAATGTATATATATGAGATACATGGAATCAAAAAGTGTAGTATGGACTAGTCCACACCATAGCTACAGAACGCCACCATGGGTGTGAATTGGTTTTGTCTACACAATCTATCCATAGTTTAGAACAGTTGTTGACTGTGGTGTGGTGTGGACCACACCCACCAATTTCTCGTCCACATTACAAAACACCCCCTTAATTAGTAATTAAGTCACAATAATTTATATTATATGCACATATATATATATATATACATATATATATATTAAAACAATGAAGTCAAGAAATTTTCTCATTTTTTGTTCTTTTATTCCATGCCATTTTTGAAACAACCAATGGGATGCACATTCCCAATAACCTAAATAATATCTTCTCCTAAAATTTATCCTAAACTAACTCCCCCACTTTCTCCAGAATTATCCCTAATTCCTATTTATCTTCTAAATTATCTCTAATTCCTATTTATCTCGACAATTATCTCTAATTTAGTAAAGAGCTTCTCTCCTAAATTATCTCTAATTCCTATTTATCCTCTCCCCTACTTTTTATCCATATCTATCTAAAGAAAGTTTGGATTAAAAAATTTAAGAATGATTTAATTCTAACAAAATTATATAATAACTTTAAAATATTTACTAAAACAAAAAAAATAATTTTATACTTTTACAAAATATATCACGAAATTATGTACTAAAAATTTAAATTATAGTTTTCCAAATCATCAATTTAAATGTTTTCCAAACATTTCATAATATGTAATAGCTTTAAATAAATAAAATTCAAATAACAAAGAATTTTAAATATTTTATAGATTCTTTAAAAATTTAAATAACTAGATATTTATCATAACTAGATTTTAAATAGTTAAAATAACGAAATTATGTAATAAATTTAAAAAAAAAATTCTTTAAAGCAGAAAAATAATTATAGCATAATATTGAAATTAATAATAATTTAATATATTACAAAATTAATAATGATATTATGTAATAATAGTATAAATTATGATTTTATGGATAATTAAATTTCATAAATAACTAATATTTTAAAATTTAAATATTTTACATATTATTTAAGTATTTAAATAACTGGGTATTTTAAATAACAAAATATTTAACATAAATAGATTTTGAATAGTTAAAATAAAAAAAAAATATGTAATAAATTTAAAAGTTTCTAAAAAGTAGAAAAATAATTATAACATAATATTGAAATTAATAATAATTTAATATTTTTACATAATATTGTAAATAACTAATTTCACTTATATCAAGTAATAATTTAAGAAAATAACTTTCATATAAATTGATATTTATTAATAGTAATTTTAAACTTAATTGTATTTATTATATAATTATATATACAAAATTAATATTTATTGTATTTCAGTAATTATTTATTGTTTTTGTGATAAATGTATTTTCAATGATTATGCATAAATTTAATTTTTTTGTTATTTAATAGAAAACTTTCAATAATTATTGGAGATTAAACTACTATTAGTGAAAATTTTAAATTTAATTTATTGTACTTATTGTATTTATTGTATTTTTGTTATAACTTATTGATTAATATTTATTGGAGATTAAACTATTATTTGAGATTATACTATTTATTGACCAAGTTAATATATTTTTAGTAGTTATTGTATTTTTGTAATTATTGTATTTTTTCATTATCAATATATTTTCAATAATTTTGTATTTTTGCTATAAATTTTCAATAATTATTGGAGATTAAACTATCGTTATTTATCAAAGATGAGACTATTAATTTAGCTGAAATTATGAGTGTTCATGAGTTGGTTCGGTTCGGCCGTAGGCTATTTGGCCAATCAAATTGACCTGGTCAAGTTGGGGAGTTGGTAAGCTGAAACTGACTAACATTTTGTGAAAACCGACCCACTCAACTTGTATTGGTTTGGGTCGATTTTTTTGTTTGGTTAGTCGATTCAAAAGATTTAAACTTAAAAATAAAATTTAATTTTAAAAATTATAGTGCGATTATTAAAAAATAAATTTAAAAAAATAGATTTATGATATAAAAAAATTTAGACTAAGAAATATAGGAGATTTTCCACTTTTCCATTTTAAAAATTATATTTAAAATATAAAATATTAATATATATCCATGGTTAGGTCATTCGATTTTGGTTGGTTTACAAATGGCTAAAGTGAAATTGATCCAAGTTGGTTGAATTGAGAAATTTTTAAACCAAATTTGACCTAAAATACTAGAAAACCGACCAACTCGGGTCGAGTTGATCGGGTTGGCCGGTTTCATTAGTTTGATGAATAAACCTAAGTGAAATTAATTATTGTTATGTTTGTATTATCGAAGTATTATTAATAGTAGTATATAAAATATGAATAATTATTAATTATTTAAAAGTTGAAAATATAAAACAATTGTATACTCTTATGTGATTCTATTAGGGTCATTTACTAGAACACATCTTACAGTTTTACATATTTACTTAAACCTACCTTATAGTTTTCATTTTATTAAAACATCCCATATATTTTACAACTTATTTACTTAATCAATATTTCATTAAGGAGTGTTTGTTTTTCCATTAGGCCCATGACTTTTTGTTCCAAAAATAGCCTTAGCACTTTTTTTTTGTATAGAATACAAAATTAACCAAATATAGCCAATAGAGTGGTTTTCGTGTCTTATAAAGGGCAAAGATGGTATTTTTATTTTTTATTTTCTTTTGATTAAATTTATTTAAATGAACATTAGGGTCAACACTATCATTTTTCGCTATCATCTAATGGAAGATTAATTAAATCCGTTGCAAATTATAAGTGGTGTTTTAGTAAAATACTAATTGTAGGATATATTTTAGTAAATCCATGAAACTAGAAGAATATTTTAGTAAATGACCACTTTCTATGCAAGTAACTTCATTTCCTTTTTGTGTTTTCCCAACCGAAAGAATGTGACATGCAACTTTTTAATTCAAATTTAGTACGCAAACAAATTCATTGGTTCGACCCCATGGTTGACGTTATTTGAATGGATTTAGGTTCATTCACCATCATTAGTAATTAATCTGGGCCCTGGGCCCGGGATACTAACATACCAACCAACCCATTAGGTATTTTATAGCAAAAACTCTTAAAGTCTTGATTTCCCACGATATGGTCCTCTTGGTCTTGGCGCAACCCAGCTGACACGCACTAATCCTTATCCGAAGTCCCAACCAGTTATCTGGGCGTTCAATGTTATTCCACCTTTTAGCTGGGCTGTTGAGACAGGTCGGCAATACAATAACGGAAGAGAGAATTTTAGGGTTCATTTGGTTCACAGTATCAGAATTAGAATGGTTTATTTCATTCAAGTTCAGATCTTCTATTTGCGTCTACCTACACTTTATTAGTACAATTGGACATTGAGAACATCTCCCATGTTTGTATATTACCATTTATGGGAAGATGTTCCCAGTATACAGCTGTAGTGTCATGTGGGTAGGGGTGGGTAGAATTTTTGTGGGCAGGAGATTTGAATTGGTCTGGTTGAGACAGGAATTAGAATTGAAATCAAAATAAATTGGAATGGAATTCTCATTTCCCAAGCGATGAGGAGGAAATGACCATTCCTTCAAATGGAGGAATGCCATTCCAATCAGATTCTGATTCTGTCCAATCAAACAGTTGGAATTGACCATTCCTATTCCAATTACACATCCTTATTCCTGCACACCAAATGGACCCTTACTATTGGCTCTAATTTAGTGCCCCATCTTGCCCATATCATTACTGCGTCATGAAAAACTACTTGCAATAACCCAAGCCAAATCAGAAACCAGTTCGATTTCAAAAACACCTCTCCCCAAGCTCAGCTATAATTTCATTTGCACGGGTAAAAATGCATTTAAGTATAAATTCTGGTTTAATTTTGCACCAGTACAAATGATCAAATTGGCCAAAAAACTAGGCCTAAACAAACTGCTGGTATTTTCAAGAGTTAGGGTACGTTGATATTGTCAAAACCTGATCAAACTAGCTTAACCCAATTCAGGGTACTAGACACTTAGACAGAACCCAAATTACAAAGATATTAAGGTAAGCGATTAGATACAAATTAGATAAAAATACAGGGATCGATCATTAATTGAACAAAGTTTTCTTTCTTTTATTTTGATTTTTGACTTTTGATTATTGATCAATAACCACCCAAAATGTCGACAAGTAAATTAAAAGCCAAAAACAGATTCATGGGAATAATGGAAACATAAATACTGATTTATTACAGAAAGGAGAGCCTGGATTCTTTGGTGCATGACTTGTATTAACTATAGCTTGAACCCAAGCAACACTTTCTATGCAATGGATAGTTTGCGAAGGAAGGATAAAATTTCATCGGAGACTTGTTGAGCTTTCTCTTGTTGGATAAAATGGTGACCGTCGATGATGACAACTTCAAGGTTTGGTACGAGGCTCTTGAAAACATCTCCCTCAATGTAGTCCTTCGTACCAAATGATTCAAACCCAATATCCTTGTCGCCTACTATGAGCTTGGTCGGAACTGTAACTTTTTCTCCCTGCCATGGTGCAAGAAGTTCCCAATTCCTGCTTCCATTCATTCACAGAGATATTGAAATTAGCTCCAACTGGTTGAATTTGTTACGGTAACAAACAAAGTATATTAACCTCAACCATGTCATCCTATACTTTCCATACAGAAATTAGAAAAATTCTGAAGCCCTATTTGAAAGTTTATCTAAAGCTAATTTGATTCAGGAATGATATAACCGAAGTTTGTGATTATGACAGCCATGGTTGAACTTCATGGGTTGAAAAAGAAAGAACAATTTGACAACTTTAATTCTCTATGGTTTTTGACGATTTCAAAAACCTATCCTAGGAGCTCTTGAGGTGCTCCTTTCACGCATTCATCCAAAGGATGTGACATACATATTGCTCTCAATTCGACTAACTGAGCTATATATCTGAAAACAATCAGTCAAATTGATTAATTTGAATGAAACTTGACTGCTTATAAGTTCTTATCAGTATAGTTGAAGGAATGAAAGGGATTAAAATCCCACCACCACTTGGACGAAATGTTAGAAAGAAAAGAAGAAAAAAAAAACTTAACTTGAATCCTTTAATTACACCACCCGAATTCCAATTCAGGGTGCTTAATTAGTTAATTATTTTTCAATAAGCAATTCTAGTTAATTAAAAAGTGGGGCTTTGCAAGGAGGAAAGGTTTTGGTTGAAAGTTAGAATAACACTACTTGGTTTTTATTGTTTTAGGCTTTTAAAATTACTCCATCAAATTGGTAGAGTGTCGTGTTTGGACCAGACTGGAGTACGTAGTATAAGTAGTATTCATACTTCGATCGATCGAGGGGGATGCAAAGAAGAATGAAAATAAATAAACGAAGGAAAAGAATAGAAAGAGAGGAATATAATTGAAAGGTGAGAAAGGGTGTTATTACAGGTTCATTGCACGATAGTAGTTCAAGGGACCAGTGAATCCCGAGTCCTGAAACTTGTCTGCATAAAACTGGAGTTCCTCCTCCGAAATCCACAAGGGTAATGGTGGAGTCTGCAGATAATCAATGATTTCCATGCGAGGAGGAGCGACCAGAGGTTCAGTCTTGCTAATGAGCATGAACTTCTTCATCACTGTCAAGTAATCATAACGTGCAAACGCCTTCTCCGCCCTCCCTGGCTCCTGTGTTAATTTGTGTATTGATCAAGAACATTTTAATATAATTAATTAATTAATTAATTAACAACAAAGAGAGATCTAGAGAGAGAGAGAGAGACCTGAAACTGAGAAATGTAAAAGTCATCTCCAAACATTTGTGTCATGGAATCGACATCAGTGGAGGTGGGAGAGCGCGGGTAGAAAGGGACACTCAAACTCACTAATCCTTTAACTCTATCGGGCCTGAAGAGGCAGAGATACCAAGCAGCGACTGCTCCCCAGTCATGACCTACTACAAATGCCTTCTGCTCAACCATATTTAATTATAAACATAGAAATGTTAATTAATTATGACTACTTTTCCAATAAATGATCTCTTTAGTTTACTTGTGTGTGTGTATGAGAGAGAGAGAGAGAGAGAAGACCTGTTGGTTAAAATGGTCGAGAAGGCCAATGAAGTCGCCAACGAGATGAAAAACAGTGTAAGAGGAGGGGTGAAGTGGAGAATCGGAGTCACCGTAGCCTCTCATATCAGGTGCCACGACATGATAACCGTTGTTGGCCAAGTGGGTTATCTGGTGACGCCACGAAAACCAGAGCTCTGGGAAGCCATGGAGGAGAAGAACTAGAGGCCCCCTCCCTTTCTCTGCTATGTGGATCCATATCCCGTTCGTCTTAATCCTGCTATGCACTACACTATCATCCATTCTTTCTCCCTTAGCTACTTACTCACTCTTCTTCTTCCTTCGGTTACTACTCACTACTATCCTGTGTTCTAATTTTCTACTTTAGTTTCAAAGTTTCAGACTAGATAGAGGAGAGATCAATAAGTAAAACATTAAAACAGGAGATCGATCAGTAGAACCAACTACTTTTTTTAGCGAGGGAGAGAGAGTGTGTGTAGGCAATGAATGATTCAAGATTGATGGCTAAAATGAAAGCTTCTCCATCCTCTGACTTTTGTCCCCTACATTGCCACGGAATTTGCGTACGACAAACTTCATTCTTCTATGAAGTTAAGAAATTGTCCTCCAGTTTCCAATTGTGATTAGACGGATGATCAATGGTCAATGCCGTGACACAGCACGGCTAGTTGTGGCTGGGGCCCTCATATAACTTATCACGTGACGCTTTGGCTAAGGACCCTCTTATCTACCAAGGAGGACCCACGATCGGATCTATCGAGATCGGCTTCGGTCATCATTGCAGGGCCCGTTCCAACAGCCTTGCATCGGGAACATATCCGCAGTTCTATGAGGGATGTTTAGAGGAATTGCGGTGGTTTATCTGGTGTAATCGCTCTGATGCTTAATTGGATGCTTGTACATTAGTAAGTTAGCAAATAATCACACGTACCTTGTGTCATTGAGGTAGATGTCCTTATATAGGTGAGCTATCCGGTCTCATGAAATATCTCTGAGGTCTTTGGCTCGTGTTGTTAGGAGTCCATTCTGCACCAGGAGGTGGACTTCATGATAGCCGATAAGGCTTATCGAGTCTGCCCAATCCGAGTGGGATGAGGATAAGGCCTACAATCATGCGACGTGATCCCGAAGAGCCCGAAGATAGCTGGCTTGCTTCTAGAAGTCTACTACGTGTCACCTTGGCAGATCGTGTCATAACGAGCTACTCGGTCCTCGGTCCTGGCCGAGGACCCCGAGGTGATCTATCCTACTGAGGTGACAGGAAGTGTTTTATCAATGTCCAGTTAGCTAGTCGCGTCCATGTGTCTACTTATTGGTAGGTCATGCCAAATCACTTCTCATCAATTGCCCCCCACTCCCCGTGCTAGGGGTCTTGACCCGGAAGGTGATGGTACCTGAGCCCGGATGTAAGCCAAGTCGCGTACCTCTTCGATTAGGTCGAGGTTCATCCGTAGCTCGTCGTCATTGGCCTCCTCGTCGTACGCCTCTAGCCGCAAGGTCGGTACTTTGATCTCGGCTAGGATGACGACCTTCGTACCGTAGGTCAGGTTGAACGGTGTCTCGCCCGTCATGGTCTTGATAGTAGTTTAGTAGGCCCATAGGACGCTGGGCAGCTCCTCGACCCACAAACCCTTAGCTCGCGTTAGGCGAGCTTTTAGTCCGCGGAGAATCACCCTGTTTGTCACCTTAGCCTGTCAGTTCGCTTGTGGGTGTGCCACCGATGTGAAGTTTTGTTGTATCCCCACCTCGGCGCACCAGTTCTGAAACTTGATGTCTTCGAGTTGCTTCCCGTTGTCGGAGATCGGCACCTTAGACAGTCCGAATCAGCATATTATATTCCTCCAAAAGAAATTTTGTACATTCTGGGTTGTGATGGTCACTAGGGGCTCGACCTCTACCCACTTCGTAAAATAATCAACCGCCATGACTAGGAATCTTCTCTGCCCGATTGCAGGTGGGAACGGACCGAGGATGTCTATCCCCCATTGGGCAAAAGGCCACGACCTAGTCAGATACTTCAGGTCGGCGGCAGGCTGGTGAAGGATGTTGGCGTGCCTCTAGCAGTTATCACACTTTCAAACGAGCTTGAGTGCACCTGCTTTCATTGTAGGCCAATAATATCCTTGCCTTAGTGCTTTTTGGGCAAGCGCTCTACCCCCCAAGTGTCCTCCACAGAGACATTCATGGATATCGTGTAGCACCCAGCCTGCTTTTGAGGGTCGTAAGCAGCACAGGTAGGGGCAGTCGTCCATCAATAATTACGTACCGAGATGACTAATGCTCTACCCTCCAAGTTGCGTTACACTCTACTGGTAGGGTCCTATGGAGCAGATAATCAACAAGGGATCAAGCCAGCTTGGTTCTACTTAAAACATAGGAGCGACCTCTTCTACCCCATTGTATATACACCATCGTATATCGAGAGTTGTTGCTTGCGCTTGCGCTTTCCAACTTCGAGAGTGCGTCGGCCTCGGCGTTTTTTGACCTTGGTACTTGCCGGATGAGCCAAGAGTGGAAGTCGGGTAGGAGTTCCCTCACTTTGGCCAAGTAGGCCATCATGGCAGGTTCTCGAGCCTCGTACTTGCCTTTCACCTGGTTCACAACCAACTGAGAGTTGCTGCATACCACAACATGCTTTGCTCTAGACCTATTCATGGGCCGGACCTGGCCGGGCCTGGTCGGGCCTGGCCAGGCTTTCACTTTATATTAACAGATTTTTCTAAGGCCCGAGCCCGAGCCCAAGCCCGACCATCGGGCCTATAACTCGAGCCCAAGCCCGGCCCTCATAAAAAGCCCAAAGCCCGGGCCTGGGCCCGAACCCGAAAATTAGCCCATACTGTTACTACTGTTGAAGTGGCTGAAAAGAGAGAGAGAGAGAGAAAAAAATTATAAAGAAAAGAATAAAAAATGTATATATTAAATTATAAATATATATTTTAATAAATATTATATTATTTATATATTTTACATAATATATAAAATACATATTATATATTTTATAAAATATATAATGCTGAGTCAGGCCGGGTCGGGCATTTTTGACAAATCCCGAGCCCAGCCCGAAATACAGTTAGGCTTACTGTGGTAGGCCCGAGGTCAGGCCCGCGGGCCTAATTGCATGACCAAGCCCGATCGGGCCATGAATAGTTCTACTTTGCTCCGACCTCTTTCGCCAATGTCAGTTCGACTATCAACGCCTTGTACTCCGCTTCGTTGTTCGTTGCCTCGAATTCGAACCAGAGAGCATACTCCAACTTCACCTCGCTCGGCCCATATGGTATGAGTCTAACTTCTCTTCCTTGCTGATTAGACGAGTCATCGACGTGAAGGATCCAGGGCTCCTCGTCCCATGTCGAGGCTTCTTGGACTAGAACTCGTGCCACGCTGGTTGATGCCTCCGACTGGCTGGTCGGCTCGATCACTTCAGGGGTCGGCGTACTGAACGTGCATTCTACGATGAAATCCGCCAAGACTTGAGCTTTAATAGTTGGGTGTAGCTTGAACTGGATGTCGTACCCACTCAACTCGATGGCCCACTTTGTCAATCTACTTGAGACCTCAGGCTTTTAAAGAACGTGCCTTAGTGGTCTGTTGGTGAGGACGACGATGGTGTGAGCTTGGAAGTGTGGGCGTAGTTTCCAAGCTACGATAACTAGGGCATAAGCCATCTTCTCGATGTCGGGGTATCTTGTCTCAACTGCTTGCAAAACTTTACTTATATTGTAGACGGGCCTTTGGACACAGTTTACTTCTCGGATTAGTATCGAGCTAACCACCTCGTCGCTCGCGAACAAATATAGTCTAAGCTCCTCTGTAGGTTCAGGTTGGGTTAAAACTGGTGAGGTACTTAGGTATTTTTTGAGCTCATCAAATGCAAGCTAACACTCATCAAACCATTCAAAGTCCTCGTTCTTTTTACTTACCTTAAAGAAAGGTAGGCATCGACCAGCCAATTTAGACATAAACCGGTTTAGGGCAGCTACCCGGCTAGTTAGCCTTTGCACTTCTTTTATGTTCCAGGGTGGTCTCATATCTAAAATGACCTTTATTTTTTTTGGGTTGGCCTCAATGCCATGCTGGTTGACTATGTACCCGAGGAATTTGCCCGACGTGGCCCCGAAGACACATTTGGTTCGGGTTGAGCTTTATGTTAAACTTCTTAAAATTTGGAAAACAAAGTCTAAATCACTAATCAAAGAAGAAGAAAATTGGGTCTTCACGACCATGTCGTCAACATAACACTCAACTTTATTACCTATTAAAGGCTAAAATACTTTGTTTACAAGGCATTTGAAGGTTGCTCCAGTGTTTTTCAGTCCAAAGGGCATTACTTTATAACAGTATAGACCTAGTTTAGCTACAAAAGTAGTTTTGTCCTGGTCGGCTAGATCCATCCTAATCTGGTTGTAGTCGGAGTAAGCATCCACAAAGATCAACAACTCTGTTGAGGTCAGTGTAGTCGACGCACATGTGCCACTTGCCATTGGCTTTCTTCACGAGGGCTGGATTTTCTACCCAACTCGGATACTAGACCTCTTTAACGAAGTATACCGCGATGAGCTTCCTAACCTCCTCGTCTACTACCCTCCACCGCTCCATGGCAAGGTTCATTTTCCTTTGTCTAACTGGCTTGACTAAAGGGTCCACATTGAGCTTGTGAGTTCAATGTGGACCGTGATTCTGCTAAGGGGTTTCACCATGTCTCCACTAAACCCAACCAGGGGCGTGTTCGCCAACTGAAGATCCTTTCACTCCAACTTTAGCTTGTCGAAAACTTCCAGGAAAATGATGTCCGCAGAGCTGCTTGAGTCTACCAGGATCCGCTTCACCTCGAAGTTATTGATTATTATCTTGACCACGAGGGCGTCGTCGTGCGGATACTAGACCCTGCAAGCATCATCCTCGGTGAAGTAAATCACCTCCTCTACTCGACGGCAATTCGGCAGGTTCTCTTCTTCATGCTCGAGCTCCCGGACTGATGCTTCCCCGTTGCCGTGCTGCAACTTGCTACAATGGATTCACCGGTGATCATGTTGATCACCTCGCGGATCGGTCTATCTTCTAGTGACGGCTGCCGAGGTGGCTACTGATCGCGGTCATTCTGCCTGCTTGATTCTGGCGTGTCTCTCCGCTAGTCGGCAAGTCGGTGCTCCACGTCCCTATCTTCATACTTAATAAATTTCTTCAAATAGCCGCGGTGGATCAGTTCTTCAATTTCGTCCTTCACAATGGAAATGGTAGTACTAATTGGGATTCCTGCTGGCAGGGTCTCTTCTCATCCTGGGTGGCCACTTGACGTAGCTGGTGTCCTTAATGGCCATCAGAATTTCACCTCGCTTGGCGTTCAGTGCAGTATAACTGGATCTCTGAATAGGAGGGGTTCTAGATCACCAACCTGACTTAGAACCTTGAGGTGGTGACCGACTCTTCTTTGGCGACGTGCTTCGCCTGTTGTGCGGTGACCTACTTCTTTTCGGCGACTTGCTCTTTCGCCGATGCTTGCTATTGTTGCTCTCCTCTTCAGCTCTCTTCCTCTTCCTGGCCTGGT